TGAAATATCAATCAATCTAGCGTTGTGAAAATTTGAAATAACATTGTTGATGACTTCCTCTTTACCACAACTAAGTATTTTAACTTATTTTATGTGCATTTTATATGTGCGAAACTTTAAAATGTTCGCCCTAGCCCCGGCTTAGATGACGCTAGTGACACAATTGTTCTCCACAGCAGTTTACTTGGTAGCAACGCTCTACACAACAAAAATTTTCCGATTATTTCCGTGTTATAGGCGAGCGGTTTACTGCAGAAGTTAAACCGTCACATAAAAGATTTTTTTTGCATTTCTACCTCACCAAACCTTTTTTATTCGAGTTTATAGATTTTTTCAAGTTCAAATTTGTAATTTTTCCAAGTGGACCGAAAATTGCTATTAACAAATAACAAAATACTTTTTATATCTTGGTAATTTTTCGAAAAATCCTTCATTTTCAGTTATTTGCAATTTTTTTTGAAAAAAATGGCTTAATTAGTGATTTTTTGCGATTTTTTATCCTAAAAAACTACTAAATACGGTGTAGAGACGTTGATAAAGACGTGTATCTGTGCTTTGTAGATTTTAGAAAAGCATTTGACAATGTCAATCATGAACAATTGATAGGTATTCTGCGAAAGACAGGTATTGACAACAAGGACATTCGAATTGTGGCAAACCTATACTGGGGTCAAACAGCAAGAGCAAAAATTGGCAACGAACTCACTGAAAGCGTGCAGATCAAAAGGGGTGTTCGTCAGGGGTGTATATTATCCCCACTCCTATTCAATATGTATTCCGAGGAAATATTTAACAAATGTATGGAAAATGCAAATGAGGGCATTAAAATAAACGGCGAGTTAACGAACAATATAAGATACGCCGACGACACGGTGATCCTTGCCAGTACCATAGACGAATTACAACAAGTAATGGAAAGACTTTATTCAGTTAGTGAGGAATACGGCCTGAGCCTCAACTTCAAGAAGACAAAGTGGATGCTGATAAGCAAAAAGCAACAACCTGCTCGACAATTACGGATAAGTAACATATTAATTGACCATGTAGAATCTTATGTGTACCTTGGCACCAACGTAAATGCAAAATGGGAACAGACCATAGAAATTAAGGCGAGAATAGAACGAGCTAGAGCAGCATTTAGCAATATGAAAAAGCTCCTCATAAGCAAGGATTTGTCTCTTCCCCTAAAACTACGTATAGTTAAATGCTACATTTTTCCGATCTTGCTGTATGGCGTGGAGGCCTGGACGCTGACGGAGACGCTAACGAGAAAACTAGAAGCATTCGAAATGTGGGTGTACCGACGCATTCTTCGTATATCCTGGACCGAACATGTCACCAACATAGAGGTACTCCAAAGAATCGGAAAGGAGAAAGAAATCGTGAATACAATTAAACAAAGAAAGCTTGAATATCTAGGCCACATATTGAGACACGATAAGTACCGTCTGCTACAATTGATTGTCCAGGGAAAAATAGACAGTAAGCGAGGGCCAGGCAGGAGAAGACACTCGTGGCTCCAAAATCTGCGGAAGTGGTTCGGGCTCACATCGGTCGAACTATTCAGAAGCGCCGCAAACAAGATCAAAATTGCCATGTTAATAGCCAACGTTCGCAACGGACAGGGCACTTGAAGAAGAAGAAGAAAAAACTACTAAATGAATTGCAATTCTGTAAAAAGCTTAATAATCATTCAAGTACAAGGATAAATGGATTCTATCTTATCAAAATATTCTTACTTATATATGAAGGTTTAAAGATTATAAAGCTTTTTGTAGAATTGTAATTCATTCAGTAGTTTTTTAGAAAAAAAATCCCAAAAATCACTAATTAAAGAACTTTTTCAAAAAAATATTGCAAATAACTCGAAAAAGAAGCATTTTTCGAAAAAGTATTTGCGATTTGGGAAGTTATTCGTCAATAAAAATTTCCAGCCCATATAAGAATTTTTTATGGCAAAGTAACAAAATTGGTAACTTTTTATGGACATTTTATTGTATACACCATGTATTGTCATTAATAGTCATGTAAAATTATTTGTAAATATGATTTTTAAGACGGTTTACAATTAGTCAAAAACCATATATGTCTCGCCCATTTTTTTTAAACTTATATAAATCACTTTGAATTTTGAAAACAATGCTAATATTGTTAAAAATAAAAAATCAGCTTGTGCGCAAAGTTTTTTCGTCGTAAATGTAGATATACAAGGTGGACCACCGAAAACTTGCCACCTAGGTTTTGTTCTTATTGATACAAAAAGTAAAAGCACACTTAACCCGCCAACTGTTATTTTTAGTGTTAATTATTCTCAAATTTAAACTCCGAAAACAAGGGTCGCCCTCATATCTAAAATCTTTAATAAAAAAGAGTATTTGATATATAATGTTAAAGGATATTTATTAATCTTTTTAACGGCACCTTGTATTTTTCTTTTGTCACTACTTCTTCGATATTTTCTCTCCACAACTTGGTCTACTTCATTTTTCTCTAGTAAGCGAGTCCATTTGCTATCTTTTTTGGACATCCATTTTCAGTCATTTTCTTCAGTCATTCTTTCAGTCATTCAGTCTTACCAGTTGACCAGTGTCTTTGACTTCAATTGTGTCTGTTATGTGTAGATCAATTTCCATTCTCTCCAAATATTTAAGTTTCTCACCCTATCAAAGTCTACTGAGCCGGCGACATCGTCTCCAATTTCCATTGCCTTAATTTTTGATCTGTTTCTTTGGTTTATTTCCTAGAGTTCGCCGCCGTACAATATTTTCTATTATTGGTCTATAAATTCTTCTTCTATTTTCTTTTGTTATTTTTTGTTACTTCCTGCTGTTGATGTTATTTGGACTTCCAAATATTTGAAGTTTTCAGTTGATTTTATAGTTGTTTCAATTTATAATCCTTTTAGTATATCTTTTTGTCCCACCAAGTCACACTTGGTGTACTCCGATTCCAGTTTTTTAAGCATATCAATTTCGTTTTTCGCTAGAATGGCTTAGTTGCCAGCGATCATGTCAGTGTGTCTATTGTTTACAATGTCATGTTTACAATTTCTTGTCTTCGATTAGGATGCCCTTATTGCAATACTTTCTTTTTCATACCTATAGCACCTCATTTAGATATATTTTAAAGAGTGTAGGTGGTATGTAGCAGCTTTGCTGTGGACCCTTGCTAATAGGAATTTCTCTGGTTGATTCGCTGCCATTTTTAATGTTTGCCGACATATTTTTGTTCTGCTTTTGTATATGTTTTAGTTTTTTCTTATTTTTCCATTGTTACCCAGAGCAGTGGTACACCATCAGATCGTATGCTTTTGTCAGATCTATAAAGACTGTATGAAATGAAAGACTATATCATTAGATGTTCTAAACTCTCCGTGCAATATTAGAGACATTTCTCAAAGTGTTCTCTAATTTTATTTTTTCATAACTGACATTTTATGTCATGTGAACATAAAAAAAAGTGAGGGCCGTTGAAAAGATAAATAAATAACCTACAAAATGAAATATCACATGATATCCTTTTCTATTTAAGATTTTAGCGATTTTTTTCAATAAAAGTTCCATTAACGGATCTGACCGATTTTGTTTGTTTTTATGCATCAATTAAATCGACGGAAAGTTTTTAGTGGTCCATGCTGTATTTCATCACTCGTTATCTTACTGAAGGCTTTGTCAAGTGTGTACCGGTACTGCTAGTTTAAGGCTGCCAGCACTGGATTAAAACTTAAATATCTTACAAACTAAAGGGTTTCTAATTGTTGCAGATAAGTTTTGCCTATGATATATGCATGTAGAAATAAATTCCAACTGCTTTATATTGCTCATAGTACTCTCCGGCTAGGAAAGACCTGAGCAGATTCTCATTCTCGTACCGGTCAAATCGGCACGGTGTTGACATCGATCACGGCACGATAGGGTTATATTGGTTCTTTCTAGCTGGCATTTACTATATAAGTATACCTGTAAGATTTTCGGTCACAAATGGACAAATTTTTTATTTTAAAACATTAACATAATGCTTTTATTGGAACGATAAACGTTTAAAAGAATTAGAAAAGTTTTTTTACAATTTTAGTACTTTAAGTCCATATTTTATCTTTATAGAGGTTTTCTGGATGACCATCTAAAACACTCATGTCCTAATAAAAAAGTATTAAAATTTAATTTTTGTGATAGTGATATAAAACGAACCAAAAACTAATCAATTTGCACTCTATTATCTTTATAATATTATTTGTAGTAGGTATATCAAGTATTTTGTTATTTTTATATACTTCAGTCACTCGGGCTATTCACCTCCCAATTTTGTCGTACTGAACTTGAAAATTTAGTGACTTCATGGGCTCAAATAACAAAATTTATATAACGCTGGTGTGTATTTCCACCCCAGGGGTGGTTGCCACCTCTTCTCGGGGGTGGAAATTATTTTGCTTAAAATAATTACGGGAATTTATAGAACATTCTAAGCAACTTTTGTTCTACAGAGAATACTCTGAGCTGTTAATGGTTGAAAACGGTGAATTTTCATTGAAAAAGTCGCGCCTTTAATAGAAAAAGTTTGCAAAACAAAAAGGATGCTTATAAAATAAGAATGAAATTTATCCTAGATAATAAACAAGATATTCTAGGTACATTACAAAGTGAGATATGGTCGGGGAAATTTTTTGCAAATATTTGGATCAATTTATTCACCGTTAAATTGTAAGAAAAGGGTTGATTTTTCGAACATTTTGAAGGTGTTTGTCTGCATTAGTTAGCCAATCAACGAATGCTGGTAGTGATTCATGGAACTCTGTAGCTTCTTTAAGAGCAATTTCTAATTTAATCTTCTTATCGTTAGCTCTGGCAGTGACATGTTTGCTTTAATGTACGCAAATTCTGTTGTAAGTTAGAAGCAGATGAAGTAGCTTTCTTCAAATATTCTTCACCTTGCGCTAACACTGTCTCAACTTTTGGTCTGTTATCCTCTATTTCGTTATATATTCCCATGAACCTTTCCAGTTGCTCTGATGCAGTTTCAGGTAACCCTCCATCTGGTCTATTGGCGGTGATGATTCCGTCGACATATCCTAACCAAGACAAAAGATCTTGAATCTCTGCATTAAATCTCTGAGCATCTTTAAGTGCATCTTCAAGCTCCCTTTGCCTGTCACCTGCTTTCTGCATTAGGGAACGCCACGTTCCCTAAACGTTTTTTATAGTCCATGAATCCACCAGATATCCACCAGAATCTAAATTAATTTTCCTTCTAGATTACAATTTATTTTCCTTTTTTTATTAGATCCAGGAGTTTGACTGGCTTAAAATGCTTTATTTCTAAAAAAGTTATTAAATCGTATCGTCTATTTTGAAAATGTCTATAACAATGTTCTTTTTTACAAAATAACTTAAAAACTATAATATATTGAGATGAGATATTGTTTTAAACCGATTACACCGATTAAAATCTTGGTATATTCCCAGTTTCGAGTGCTTCAAACCCTAATTTTTCTAAATTGAAGGTTGGCTTCGTTTTCTAATAAACCTAGCCTTGTAGCCCTTGAAATTCATTATCTTTCCAATTGATATGTATAGGTATATCAAAACGAAAATGAACTGACTTATGGAAGAAAAACCACTGATATTTTTGGGAGATAATTTTGGAGGGTGAAAAATATTCGTATTTTGGAGGTCTCACATACGCATAATAGATAAATGTCTCGACACCAACATTTTAATTTCTAAAAATTATAAGAGCCATTCACGTTTTAATGGCACGTTAAGCCCGGGGATAGTATACATGGACACTAGCCACTTGAAAACCTATTTTTAACGTTCTAGTCGTCTTTAGGGTGATTTTTGGGGGAAGTGTTTTAAATCGTTTCATCGAAGAAATATCGTTTCATTAGCGAATAATGAATTTATAGTATAAAACATTTTAAACTCTGAATGGAAGCATTTTTTGCATTCTTGCTTTCTAGGGGTTAAAAATGTGAACAATGTGACCAATGAAACATTATTTCACAAACGATGAATGAACTGTTAATGATTTGAAATCAAGTTAAGCATTTTACATCGTAAAAAATTCTTTTTTAACGTTATTTACATCATAGTTTCTACAAATTATCATTGAATATGTTGATTTTACTTATCTCAATCAGATTTTAATGCATAATGCGCTTAAATACGCGTTTTCTTATTTTTTTCACTAAGGGTTCTATCTCCTTAAAAAAATGCACACTTCGCTCATATATAACTTTTGCTAAAGCTAAATCCATGCATTCCGACAGATTTGGGAGGTAAGATCCTATTTTTTGCCCGAGTTACTGAACAAATAAATATTAAATAACATACCAGTATAATTAAAAAAGTGGGTCGTTAGGCTAATGATGGCATATGCTGCCTGCAAGAAAATAGTGTGATAGAAACCACAGAAATGAAAATACTTGAAAATAAAAATATCAAATCCAGAATATTAACGAACGATTGAAAACATGGAGGAACTGAAACGAGTACATATATAGAATGGCCCAAGATTCAGCAGTAAAACAACATAACAGGCGTAAAAACATGCGCACTATATATACCAGATATTTCACTTACACCGCACATCGGGCTGATCTCTAAAAATAATCGGATTTGAAATCTAAAACTCTGATTATCATCTTTAGCCGTTTTGAATCTACTACTGAATATTTTAGCCTCCCATAAATAATTACATTGCAACCTTGAATTCAGTTGTGCTGGATGCGCTTGATGTCATCCGAGCACCTTGTTAAGGACGTTCTCGATTACGATAAGCATCCATTCTTGGTCCATCTTCCATCCCTGACAACATATCTTGCCCAATTCCATTTCAGCGTTGTAATTCTTTTAATGGTGTTACACCAATTTTTCTATTTGACTATTTGACTTGAAACTCTGTCTCTGAGGAATATTGACCTCTCCATTGCTCTCCATTACTTTTCTGGTCAATGTTTCTGCTCCATACGTTAGAACTTGGTGTATACAATGATCAAAGACCTTCCTTTTTAAGTACATGGGAATATCTGATTTAAAGACTTCCCTAAGTTTTCCATAAGCTGCCATGTTAGTCCTATTATCCTGTTCAACTCTGTTGTTTTATTGATTCTTCCTAATTTAATCTCGTCGCTCAAATATAACTTGTTCAATTTGCGTTCCAAAAGTTGGAATGTTTTTGGCCAGTACAAGTTTGGTCAAGTATTGCAAGACCCCTAACAACACGCTCTGAGGTAATACAAGTCATACGATCATCAAAGGAAAAGCGACCAAACTTCTGCAAGTTAATCAAATTTTACCTTGGATATCAGTTAAATTGTAGAGAGTCACGGATAAATTAGATCCAGAATTGAGCACGCCAGAGTCGCTTTTAGAAGAATGTCCAAGGTAGTATCTAACCTTACTTTGCTGCTACGTGTTGTCGATTCTACTTTATGGTATCAAGTCTGGGACTGTAATAAAAGTGATCTAAATCGCCTTGAGGCTTTCGAAATGTGGCGCCATAGAAGATTTTTAAAAGTTTTTTGGATATAGAAGATTCAAAAATCCTCAATACTAGAAAGTCTCAGCAAGACTATTGAGATTATAGAAAGTACCAAGAAGAGAAAGCTGGAGTACTTCGGACTTCGTAAAATGTAATTTTTATTACAATCAATTGTGGTTTAATCCCATATAAATAGAATATATAATTACAATACTCATCCTCTGTTTATAAAAGCTAGTTTTGACAACTATCCGTTGCCCTACAAATTTTTATATAATATAATGAACTTTACTAAGCATCATAGAAAATTACCAACCTATTCATTTTTTTTTCATACTACAAATTATTGTCCGAAAAAACATTTATTTCGTATTTCATATGCACTTTTATGTCCCCCCGTCACCGTGGCTTTTTTTATTTTTTTTTTTGTGGAGATTCGAGTTTTCAAGGGTACCAGGCTGAAAACAGATAATTTGTTATTAACAATTTGATTGTTTAAATAATTGTATCTCCTAAACTATTACAGATATTAATTTTATCAAAATGAAAATTGTCCCTTTTAAAAAAGTGTACAAAATGGCATTTGGTAAACTTTGATCCGATTTTTAGAAGCAAAGTGATAACAAATTTCGTGAATTTTTTCGAATCTTGCGATTAACTTTCAAAACCCCGTTATTTTTAAGCTTTAAAAATAACTTTGCAAGATTACTTTATCTTTATTATTAAAAAAATTATAACAAATTAAAAATTTCACCAAAATGTTGCGAATTACTTTGTTCATTTAAACAAAATTAAGCTATAAACTTTGAAAATCTGGCTAATGGAAGTTATAGAACAACTCAAGCGAACATTTTAAGCTTTGCTAAATCGTAAGTGCTCGCAAATTAATGTTCAATATTTCGTTAAAAACATTTACCCAAGCTTAAAATGTTTGTTTTGAATTGTTCTCATCTGTTTTGATCTTCCATTAACCAAACTGCCAATGTTTACAGCTCAATTTTATATAAAACACATAAACAAATTACTTTACCACTTTTTAACGAAAATTTATCTGTAAACTGCTATAACATTTTTATTTATAATATAATAATATAATATAAAGTCATTTAGATGGATTTTACGTATGTATTGGTCTTTATAAAACCAATATGTACCAAGGGGACATAAAAGTGCATACCCAAAGCCTCCTGGCTCCTAGAGTATTTATGAATTTAAATTAATGTTATTATGGTTACACTGTTTTCTAATACTCTTAAAATAATTTCTTATTTTTTTTTATATTCGTTCTGAATTTGACTATAGCAGCTGTATTAGGGATTTGTTACTTAAGAATCAACTTAACGGATCTTTGTAAATTTGGGTTAGAGCTAAAGGCGATTGGTTTCAGTAATATTTTGGTAACTCTTTGTCTAAGCCGATGTTTTCTACCAATTATTAAAACAAATGGGATGCTCGCACATTGTAGAACTGGTATTGAAGTTTATCAAAATAAAAATACGTCTGTGTAACAGGGATATATTATCACTATGTTATCTTTAATACCTAGATATTTATGAAAACGGTCGGCATACACTATTATTGGTGATACTATATGTATGTAAACTATATGTCTAAAAGGAGGGCAGTCTAAAAAGCACCAATCATAAGGAAAGAAATCATGAGTGATATATATCGTATAAGAAGGAAGATAATAGAAGCAAAACGAAAATAGTTTATACTTGGATTTGAAGAAATTTATGAAATAGATTTATAAAAGGAGATTTATCAAACAAATATCATGATATTGATTTCTTTTACCTATGGTGCTTTTTCCTCTATGATTATATTCAATTTTCTACAATTTCTAGTAGAACTCTGTCGTATCAATTTACTCTCTCGGCATTATGCTTTGCCCGCCTCCATCAGCCCCTCTGTAGTCTGCTGCCGGCGTTTCTACATTCAAAGATATGAATTTCTTTACCTCTCTTTGTGGGAATAGCTCTTTTGTCAGCTCTCTTCTTCGACTTTTTTTGAGGATATTACTTTCTTTAAAATTTTTGGTAAATATCTTACGCATCACCCCAGATGTCATTCTCGGGGTTATTCATTTCCAACACCTTTCTTTCCAGCAAATTTTCTTTTCATTGTTTAGCTTTAGCTGCCAGCTCTTCTTTGGCTTTCTTCGATTTTGAGCATATTACTTCCTTTAAGAATTTTGGTAACTATCTTGTACGCATCATCCACCAGCACATTTCTTTCCAGTGCATTTTCTTTTCATTGTTTATTTCATTCGAGAGTTCTTTCTTTTTTTAAATATTTTAACCGGCTGGTGGGCAGCACCTTCTGGCCAGCTCTTTGATTTTTTCGTATCGCTCTTCATAGTTGTTGGGATATTCTTCCATTGCTCTGATTTCTTCCGTTAGTTTCTGCCTATCGATGTGTTTCGTTCTTCTATTATCGTTTTGTTTATGTTCTCTCTTACCTTGACTAGGATATGTCTATGATGGACAAATACAGTATATAGTATCCAGTACATCCCATTCAGCTGTCCTACTACATCTATATGTTTCCCCTCTAATAAAGGTTAGTTTGCCGTGGATAAGGTCCATTAGGCATGGATCTACTGTATG